TTTCTGCCACTTGCATACAATGGGGGCAGGGTGGTGGACCTCGCCCCCTCCTATTTTGTCAGGGCTATTTTAGTAAAAGTTAGCGACAGGTCATGGCTTCCATGAATTTTTATTCATTGCCAGTAACCCATCCATTACTTTTCATAAAAATATCCATGACAAAATCATAGCCTTAATTATGATTGCTAAATGTTTTTAATGTGCTCAAACAAAAACTAAACTACAAGGTGCATTTTGGGAAGACACTTTGAAGAGACAAACACACTAAATTGCATTGGTATTGTAGGGGCATGTGAAACAGTTATGGAGTACTAATAAGACTTTAAAATAAGGATTCAAAAAGCATAATAGGATCTGAAATGGGCTGTAGACAAAAGGTTTCAATCAGATAAATATACAAATGGCTGGGAGAGGGAGCAAGAGTTTGCCTTTGTCCCTCTCTTTTCTACCCAATAGGTCACTCATACATATATGAATGAGAGAGAGAGAGAGCACGTTTTTTTAGTTGTCACTAGTTCTTTCAGCAGTTGAAGAGAAATGAAAGAAAGAACCTGAGAAGAGAGAAATCTGGGGTAAAAACCAAAGAGCTTCAGTTCCATTTCCCTTGTAAATTTTCTTGAAGAAAGGAGGAGTCCCTGCAGCTGTTAAAAGCTCAGTTGGCAAGTTCCCAAGCTTAGTGAAACACACAAAAACAAGAAGAAATCCTCTGGGTACAGGAACAAAATGAGTGAGATTACCATGCATTCTTAGATGATCAAAGAAATAAAATTAAAGAGGTGCTTGCAACAGCCAAAGATCTTGTGAAGCAGAAAAATGAGTTGCTTAGTCACAAGAAAGGCACAACTAAATGAGATGGGGCAGCTCAGGAAACTAAGAGATTCCAAGAGGAAACTCACCAATAAGAGGAAGAGATTCTGATTGAATTTGAGTTCCTGTTAGGAGAAGAAATCCATGACGAATTAGTCAAAAGCATAAAAAAATCAGCACACTTGGCAGTATAAATGGTCTAATAATGCCTTTCAATTAATGTACTGATATAAGGAAAAAGCTAAAGGCTCCCTTACAGAAGGCATATAAAAGGTATAGTGCACACAGTTCCAGAAAGAGCCGGGAAAGAAGGGAGATAATGAGTCTGTAAATTTAAAATATAATTGTGCCAATCATGAAAAGGGCTTGTGCAGCTGTCAGTCATAAAACTGATAGTTACATTGTCCATTGCCCAAGAAATAACATATGGTGTTAAGGATCAGAAAAGTCTTTTAACTTCTTACTCATCTATTTCTAATTTTTAGGAAAAGAGACAGAAGACAGCTAAGTAAATAAGTTAAAAATATAGGTATAGCTTTGGTGACATTTTGAATATTTAAGCCAGACAAAAATCAAATCAGAAATAACAAACATTTTTAACAGAGAGTGATTAGCTTTTGGAACAAACTCTCAAGGGAAGTGGTGGATTCTTCACCTCTTTATGTCAACACTGAATGCCTTTCTTGAAGGTATACTTTAGTTAAATACAAGTTATTGAGCCAACATGGGGGTAATTGAGTGAAATTCTATGAACTATGTAACCCAAGAGGTCAACTAGATCATCAGATGGGCCCTTCTAGCATTCAAAATGAAGAATAAAATGATGACTGCATGTTTTCAACCTTATGCTGGTAATGCCCGTACTTCTCTCCAGGAAAAGGAATATCCCTTCACAATTCCTTTGTACAGCCACTCAGGAGTGGATTTAGTGTCCCCATTGACGAAACATTTCCCTCTCCGCTTCTGGCAAACAAACAAAAAACAACACACACCTTTTGAGGAGACCGGCCAAAGCAGGATGCCAGCATGAATGCATCAGACTGCTGGTAAGATGGCTCTTAACACTTTTATCTTCATAGCGGTACTTGCTACTCATGGCAGGCACTCTATTCCCTTGGGTTAGTAGAGGTGCCTCAACATGACAGCCTTTCCAAAGGTGGTCAGAGATCCTTTGTTTAGAAGCAGAGATGCTTCCCCTTGTCTCTTGTATTTTGAAAACTTTTAGGTTGCTGCTAGTCTAAGTTTAAGCCTGTCTTTTCCCCCCACTCCAGATGTTGTCTCCTAGTACCTCCCTGTCCTGATGTCATAGGTGGATGAGAGGTTCTCTTTGGGATCAAAGGACAGAGAGTGTTAAGGGGCCATTCCAGCTTTAAGAAATAGGCCCTGAATTAGCCCTTAAATAAAATGAGGGACATAGTGCTGCTAACTCCACTTGAAAGGATTATTTGCTTGCTATCTTTCATTTAGCAATACAAAGCTATTATTTTGGCTAGAAACTGGAAAACCATGATACTTTTTCAGTGGGTTAAGGAGCCTTTTTGGGGGGGGGGAGGGGCTAGTCTTCAAATTAAATAATGGATAATAACCTTTTTCTGGAGAAAACCAAGTTTCAGCCAGAACAGATCTGAAACAGTGGTTACACTAACCTCCCATCTGCTCCCACCCAAGGTTATAAGAGGAATGTCAATAGACCCTAATGTGGACCACAGAGGTGTCCTGTAATAAGAAGAATGATTTCTATTGGTTTACGAATTAATGTTGCCTTATAGCAAAGTTAATTTTGAAAAAAAAGTCTGAACCCAATTTTCTGGAGAGTCAGTGTTCCAGATTTTAAATATTTTCTTTACATTGATTACATCTGAGAACTAAAATTAATTTACTTTTGGAATAGCTTCTTAACTCCCATTGTTAAAATAAAGTGAGATACCCAAACTTACATTTGGAAAATGTTTTTAACCTTATGAAAGTATTTTCCAAAAGTAACGAAGACCAGCTTATATAAGCTTTTATCTGACCTCTACTTTTTAAATAAAAAAACATGTTTTCAGGGAAATGTCTTGGAAGAAAAAAAAAAAAAAAAAAAAAGCTTTTCTCCTCTATTCTTGTAAAACATTAGGTCATTGAGTTCACTTTTTGTATGTGTTTAAAATGGGTGAACATTTTTTCTTAAACTATAATACATTATACTTTGATGATCTTTAAAAAAAAGTGTTTCTTTGACTCAGAAAAGTTAAAGCAATCTTTGTTGCTTTGAAAATGTCAAAAGGACCATTAAAATTCATACCAGAGAATATAGCATTGATCTTTGTGAAAAGACAAAATAACCTCTTTCAATAGCAATAAAAACAAACGATTAAAGAAATCTGTTCCAATAACTGACAGAGATGGCTGCTGGAGAGGGGATTTTGTTGTTGTTGCTGCTTTTTGGCTGTAAGAGAGATACACAAACTTGCTTTTCACTTTAGCAGCTGCGCCATGACATTTGAAATGCCGTTGATCACTCTGACCCTGAATCTGTGCGTCTTATGGAAAGTGTTATTTTAATTCATGCATACCAACTAAATCCTTCTACTCCTAGGGCCAAATGGTCAATCCGGCCTTACCTTTTGTTTATGTACACAGAGTGATATCCATGTGCCAAAAAACAAAAACAAAAAATTCTGTTTCATGCCTACCTGAAGAGGTGTAATTGGGTGGGCATGTAAAACAGGAGGCTAGCTTGAAACTGTCTGAAAAAGTGGTTCTTGAGTTTGTATATCAATGCTCTATTTATTGTGATTAATTCAATAACTTGGTACACAAAGTAAAACAACAATTAATTGGTTTAATGGCCCAAAGTGAAATTCTACATAGGTTTTAAAACAGAAACTCGTAATGTCTTTTTCACAGTGCTGTTTACTTGCCCCTGGAAACTGAGCCTCTCCTTTGGGAGGAAAGAGAAGTACTGATGCAAACAGAAACTTACCCAGGTTTACTGAGTGAAACAAAGATACAACTAAAATAACCTCACAGAGTTCTCAAAAGATTAACTATTACAATTCTTCTTATCTCTTTTACAAGATTAGTGACTCCCTTACTCACATAGGAAAAATAAATATCTAGCCTGATCTACAGTTAAAAATTCTACCAACATCTGCTCAGCATCACACTACCCAAGTAACTTTGTGAACACAGGACTATATTTTTATCTGTATCACTAAATCATTTCTCCGACTTCATTTAAAACAAAATTTATCATTTCCTTTCCATTCATTCAACTAACCTGGGTCTTTTAATTTTTTTCTGATGAAATATTGTCCCAATCATTTCAGTAAGCAATTGTGTTATCACAAGGATGAAAGTCAGCCTGATTGGTTAGAGCACATTCCTACACAGTGAAATCAGCTGAACTACATTTTACTATGTTTTAGGAAAAAAAAGATTCCATATTGACATATTAACTCCTTTTTTACAATTCTGAGATCTTAATCCTCCATTTCTTGCTCTCCCACATTGTGTTTTACTCAAGATATGAGGACTGCAAGGTAGGGATGTAAGCAAGTAGTCGACTACTGGATAAGCCTAGGCTTATCGGGTAAAGTCAAGTCAACTTCTCGCATTCCCCCTTTGTTGCCTCTATATCACAGGCTGCAAGGAGGGGGGAAGCAGGAGTCAGTGCTGGTAGAGGGGTGACCTGCTGCTACCTGACCCCCCCACTTTGCTGCTGCTCTGCATTTAGAAGGCAATAGAAGCCGGGTGGGCAGGCAGCCTAGCTCAGTCCCTGCTTGCACCGGGTCCAGGACTAAACA